CCGAGGAGAGTGTGGAGAAAGCGCGGAGGTTCTTGGCGCTCCAGGAAGCCCCTAAAGCAGCTGGGAGATCTTTTTCCACATATAAAGCGCCCCAGGTTATAAGCCGCACTGCCGGTTTTGGATCAAATATTAGGATTTTCAGTGCGGCTTATAGTTGTGAAAATACGGTAAATAAAAACATATTATTTCTTGCAGAAAATGAAATATATTTATAGCAGAACTTGTATTTACTTCAAACCAGTATTTCCAAATGCTTAGCAGCAAAAATGAGTTAAATTATACAGAAGCTGTTAATAGAAGAATGTGCCCTATTTTAAGTAAAATGCTATCTTAGTACAAGTGTTAGTTAAAGTCAATGTACCTGGTTAGTAGGAGGCTGCTGAATCTGATCAGCAAATGGTATGGAAATTTGTTGTTCGATTATGTTGTGCTGTCGACGATCACTGTATTGCTGATGTGAATGGGACATCTGTCCAGCCATCTGAAGGCCAGCAGCATGGAATGAAAATGATGGTGCAAGCCGAACAGTTGAAGGTTTGCATGCTGAAGTCTCTCCTCCTAGAAATGACAGTACAACAGTTCAGTATAGTTTTCTTATATCGGTTATAATCTATCTTCACATTAAATGTACAAACAGACATAAAGATATTTATCTAGGTTTTGCTTAAAACAAACAAACGAAGATAAAATGTGTTAAAACTGCATGCCCACAAGTTATGTATTTTTTTTTTAAAAAAGTGGATGGGATGCAATGAAACATGCACTCAATATAATAATGAATCCTATGTTTGCTATCAATTTTTCTTCTCCATAAATTTTCCTCTTTTCAATCCCATCACAGCAGATAATTCTCATATGGCTAGAATATGACTGAAATGGCATTTATTCTAAAATAAATTCATATTTGAAAGAAAAAAAATGAAGTTTTGTTTTAATGGACTATCTGAAGAAAGTTCAGTTACTTATAGACCTTGACTTATGATCACTTTTTAAACAATGGTTTAAAGTTATCATGGCCTTGGAAAAAGTAACTTACACCCTATGTTTGCACTTATGACCGTTGCACCATCCCTGTGGTCATATAATTGCAATTTGCACTTGGCAACTGCCTTGCACGTTTTGATCAGTTGCAGCATCCTAAGGTCACATGATGCCTTTTGGGCAAGCTAAATTTGCTTAATAACTGCAGTGTTTCATTTAATGACCACCATAAAAATTGTTCCAAAATCAGTCCACTTGACTTATTACCACAATGACTTATGTTGGAAATTTTGGTCCCAATTGTGATGATAAGTCAAAAACTTGTTTGTATTAACAAATTTCACTGAATTTTGTAATATTAACTATTGATAACTACAGTATCAATAAATTTCAGAACTACTCAGTTGAAGTGATTTGCATTATACAATTACACAAATAATACAAATTATGCTGTTTGTATTGTGACACCACTGCATAAATGAATATAGGTAGTCTTTGTTTAATGATGCTGATTGGGACCAGAAACTCCATCGTTAAGCAAAAAAGTCTTGTGACTGTGCTTAGCAACAGCACATTAAAGGAAGATTGTGCAGGTTGTTAAGCAAGGACCTCATGTGACTTCCAACTTCTTGTTGGCTTTCCCATGACTTTGCTTGGCAGAAACCAGCAGGGAAGATTGCAAATGATGATCATGTGATTGTGGTAATGCTGCAACAGTGTTAAGTACAAGTTCCAGTTATAACTATCACTCATTCAGTGCTGTCATAAGTTCAAATGATCACTGAGTGAGTGACTGTTAAATGAGGACCACCTGTAATCAATCAGAAAATTGATTCATTTGATGCAAAGTCCATTGCAATTGAGGTCTGAAAAAAAAATCAAGATTTTACTGTAATGTTGAAAAGAGATAGCAACCAACATATGGGGTCTTCAACTAAATTCTCTCCCAATCCCCACTAGCCCAAAAAGCCACTCCCAAAAGTAGGAGGTTTTGCTGAGTGGCACAGATTATGGCTAAAAAGGCAGGAGAATCTCCAAAGATTAGATGGAAGCACTCCCATCTACTTGTCATTTTTCAACCAATTTTCCAACCTGTCATCTTCCATATACTTTCATCTGGATCCAGCCATATGTTTTTCATATATGTACTGAGTTCTAGCAAAACTGTTTATAGAAAGAAACAAACCTATCCCAACTAACCAAGACACTCTACAGTTGTCAGCCCTACTAAATAGACAACTCCATAGTAAGGCTGAAACTACTTGTATTAAGATTATCTATAATAATACTCTTTCAAGTCTGATTATGCTGTGCCTCCTCCCCTTCTTATAGTTTAGTGAATTAGACAGACATCTACCTGAACCACCTTTGAATGTTATCCTGCTATACTAAGCTTATAAAATGTGTCAGCCCCTTTTGCCTAGGCAATGGCTCTTGCATACCTCCTCCAAGATCATCCTTTCTTACTCTCTACAAGAGTGATGAAGCAGTTACTGCCTTCAATTGGTATTGCTGCCACAATCTTCTTTTCCTCCCCTCAACCAGTGGTATAGCAGCAAAGCTGAACAAAGGGAAATGACTTCCCCTGCCAATTAAGAAACACAAGGTCACTTAGCTTAGCATCTGGTGATCAGTTTAGAGAGGTCTAGCTATCCTGAAGCATGTTCCAGACTACACCCCTCTCTAAGATGTAAATATATATCAAAAATATTTATTTAGTATCAAAACTGTATTAATAAACATTACTACCATGTTAAGAGTTATGTTTAAAGAAAGATTGATGCTTCAAAGAGACGGGAGAATAATTAATGGTGCATGTATGGAGTACATACAAAACAAAATCACCTCCCTAAACTCTCTCTGATTATTCATTACAGCTAGGATTGTGCATGGGATATAGATACATACAATTCTGTACACATCAACTCAGAAGGTACTGAATTTTTAACTTAAATATAGATCTGTTTTACTAGGTTGTAAAACAATAGGTGTTATTGGAGAATTTGGTATGTACCTCTGTTAACAACTTTTCTTTTTCACATATAGGTCAGAAACTTGTTTAAAGCCTCTACATTTTTCTTTATTAATGCTTTCAAACTTAGTAAGTTTTTCAATTTAAATGTTGTTTAATGTGTAACAATCTTGTGGCAATCTGGTTCTGCTGTTCCATTCCAGAGTGTATCGACTTTTAGCTCAACTTTTTTTTTTAGGTTAGTGGTTTAAAATATGGAGACAGTATTCTATTTCTTTAAAATAGAAAATGATATTATTTCAATCTGGTCCTTATTTTGAACCTTGAATATTAAAAACTTCTTAAAATGGAAATTGGGGAGCCAATTATTTACCGAGGTTAGCTTTTAATAACAGGCTTTATTTATTTTTTTACTGTAAATTTTAAGATATATTATTGTTTTATAATTTTGTTGTATGCCACCCAATCACTTTTTTTTAAGATGGGCAGACCTATAAATTTGATGGATGGGTGGATGGGACTGTTTGACTGACTGACTATAAAAAATATTTTAAGGGATTGCCAATAATGATGTGACAATGATCTGCACTGAAAACAAAAATGTACTATTTTTGTGAATCATTTTAGCCCAAACATCTAAAATAGCATTCATTTCAGAAAAAGTAGAATATTGTTGCCCAGCTTTTCTCCACACAAAATTAAGCATAACGCAATATCCATGTTACATCTTTTTTTACAATTTCCTTTATAGAATGGAGGTTCTCTGGGGATCTTTGAAGTGCAGAACAAGATGAAGCTCAACCACATATAACTAGGATACAGCATCACCAGTTTTTCACCAGTTAACAGTTGCATAAAGTTTGGACCTGTCGTGCAAAGAAGATCACAAAGAGCAAGGAAATTCAGTCAGTGGTGGCAGGGGTGAAAGTGCTACTCTCTTTTTAATGGGATGCTTCAGAGTTTAGTTCTTTTTTTAAAAAAATCTGATTAACATTTATATATTTATCTCCTAATAGATCCTAATGGAAAATGTCAGAATTTGAATGGGAAAGACTAGTCTTAAATACAGTCCAAACAGGCAGGAATACTTATTGATTCTAAGATTATACCGACATTATATACTACCCCCAAGAAAATGGGCTAATCATCAGGGAGCGGGCTATTGATAGATAACATATGATAGAAGATGGAACTATGTCTAGAGAGGTTTTTGCTCAGCTTGTCCTGGTTCACCAATTGCGGCTCTCCTTAAAACAGGATGCACTGGAGACTATCACTCATGTTTCTTGTGATATATTTTTTAGTTTGGGTGTTGGCAACCTGTGGCTCTTTGGGCCCTCTGCTGTGGCTCCCTGTTGGGTGATTCCACCACTGGGTGGCGCCACCCCTCACCCTCCTCTCCCAGTCACTCCTCACCTGAGAATGTAAGGGTGACGGCAGTGGATGGATACTCGCTCCTTCTTCCAGAGTGGGAGAGAAGCGCCCCTGTACTTGCCTCTTCTTACAGCCCGTAGGCCGGAAGAAATAACACTTTCTTTCTTCTGAATAAAGAACACTTTATTCAGACAATTATGAATTGATTGACTGAATTTCTCTTAAATTGTTTTTACTTTTTGTCACAAACTTTGAATTATAATGAATGTAAGCATTTCTTCCATTCTGCAGGCTGAGTACTTGTAAAGGTTAACAGTGAAAAAAGAAGACTCAAATGATAAAAAGTTACATACTCCATTTCCTATATATTAAAGTTTTTTTTTAAAAAAAATACCAATTTTAGGGGGGTGGTGGTTAAAGGAAGGTTCATAGTACATAATTTGCCACTTATCAGTCTCATTTTCTGAATCTGAAATGTAATCTATCAGTAGCTTTTATATCTTTTTAGCCTTTATTTTTATTGTTGATGGATTGCTGAGAACTGGAAGATTATCTATATATTAAGAAAACTTTATACCCTTTTATATTTTACCATGATTTCTGGTATCTCAAACTTGGAGTTGTTTCTTCTACAATTTATGTACTGTTCAAAAATAAAACATTAGTATTACTTAATAACCCATTTTTATTGTTCAGCAAAATGGGAGAAGGGGGGATGTTGGAACTACAGCATTGTGATAGCTATTACACTACAATTCCCAGCACTCCTCATCAATCACTGGTTATGTCTTCTATGCATGTAGAAGCTGCAATTAACCATAATTTGGAGTGCTATAGTTTTTTTAATTACAACATACAGACTCAAAATTAAATATAATTTGAAAGTATCAGCTAATATATTTCAGAAAGCAACTTACAGGTCAATGAACTGAATGCAGAACATAAATTATTAAATTATTCAATAGTAAGTTTGAAAAATCTTCCCACTTAGCATAATTAATTTGTACTCCAACATTGTAACTTTCAGGTGTAATGCAAACCAGAACAGTACGTAACAATGTACATTTTATTTATGTCCCTTCATAATTTGTAATTCCTGGTGGCTGCATGGACAAGTCACTATAGTTTTCTTGGCAAGGTTTTACAGAAATGGCTTGGCATTGCCTCCTTCCTAGGGATGAAAGAAAGTAACTTGTCATGCAGCAAGCTTCATGCATAAAGTGGGACTAGAATTCAGTGTCCTGGTTTCTATCCTGGTGTCTAATCACTGTACCAAACCGGATCTCAGTATAACATACAGTAGGTATGGTTAAACTTAACAACTTTACTACAACCATTTTTACATGCATCATCAACCTGTGTGCAAAAGAATTCAACAATGCTATCAGGAAATTATGCAGTGAATTAAGAGTAGAATATATATTTAAGGACGACCAATTTAAATTTTGGAGGGGGTGGGGATGCACCTTGGGATGGAATACTGTATAGTAATAAGAACTGAGAGATCAGCTTTTAAAATATTTACTAAAATTAGAATTTCACAATCCAAAGAAATATATTGCTCCAGCCTAGAGAAGATAATGGATTTTCCCCACAATTCATTAATTAGATAGGTGAAATAAAATGCAGAATTATTTAGAAATGGATTAGAAAAACAGAGTTGCTTTATTTAATTCTAGTATATGAAATTATAAAACTACCCCCAAAAAATATGGATACGTATCTGCGAACACCAGATTAATACTTAAGGATAGTTGGGCTCTTCAAAGTACAGGTAATCCTTGACTTACAATAGTTCACTTAGCTACAGGTCAAAGTTACTATGGACCCCCTACCTATAACTGAGATCTGACATTCTGACAGTCTCCCCCACCCATGCTCACCTGACTTCATTTTGGGCACTCAGCAACTGGTTCACATTTACAGACATTTGTGATGTTCTGTGGTCACATGACTGATTTACAATGTTTATGGCACAGTTTACTTTCCATTTTTTGGCCAAAATTCCTCATAGCAATCAATGACCCTAAGTATGCTTTTGAAAGGAGAATTTAAAAAAAGTTAAGGCAAAAAGAAAAAATGGCATTGAATAGGGTATTTTCCATTTATTGATCAAGTGAGAATAATTGCTGCCTAGAACAGTGATGGCTAATCATTTTGCCCTCATGTGCCAAAAGTGCATATGCTCAACCCATAATGCAATACATGCACAAACCACCACCACCTGGTCTCCATTTTGGGCCTAGCAGGCCTCCCTGCAGCCTCCTGGGACCAAAAACGGGCTATGGGAGGGGGCCTCCTCCGGGTGCCGTCGACCGGACAATGCCGGCTGGCGGCCCCCCAAGGGAGGGCCTTCTCTGTAACTGCGCCGGCCTCATGGAACGAGCTACCCGCGGAGATCCAGACCTTTACCACTCCCCCGGCTTTCCGTAAAGCGACTAAGACCTGGCTGTTCCGGCAGGCCTGGGGCTGTTGAGTAATATTCCAGCCCCACGTGACTGAATGGTGATTTTGTTTTAAATAATTGGTTTTTTAAAAATATTTTATGTCTTTGTTTTGTTGTGAGCCACCCAGAGTCCCCTGAGAGTGGGCGGCATACAAATTTTATTAAAGTAACAGTTACAAAGTCACATGTGCCATAGGCTCGCCATCATGGGCCTAGAGCAGCGATGGCGAACCTTTTTTGGCTCGTGTGCCATAAGGGGGGAGCGCAGGAGGGTTATGTGCAGGCGTGCCGCACCCATAATGCAACGCGTGACACTCCAATGCGCATGCGCACATGGAGTGCTCACCCCCATTTTGCATGCTTTTTTCGCCCTCCCCACGCTCCAGAGGCTTTATAGGAGCCTAGGGAGGGTGAAAACAGCCTCCCCCGCCCCCCGGAGGCTTCAGGGACCTTCAAGAGGCTTCCCTAAAGACTCCTGAAGATCCCTGAAGCCTCCGGAGGGCTTAGACTGACCCTTCAGCAATTTGCCCTTTCGAGCAAATCGAAAGTCAGTTCCTGAACTTCCGGTTTGCCCACAGGGCCAGTTTTTTGCACTCCGGAGGCTTCAGGGAAGCTCCTGAAGCCTCCGGAGGGCATCAGGGGGGGCTCTTTTCGCCCTCCCCAGGCTCCTATAAAGCCTCTGGAGCCTGGAGAGGATGAAAAGTGGCTTTAAAAAAAGCTGAAGTCAGCTGGCCAGTTGACAGGGCAACGCCTCGCATGCCCTGATAAATGGCTCCGTGTTCCACCTGTGGCA